GGGAAACATCAAACAAGTAATAAAGACTAACAGGCCAATGATCAAGCTAAGAGTTGTTCGAGTCTTTCAAAGGACTAATGAATACTCAACCTACAAGAACATTCTTGAGATTGTCTTTCATGACATTGAGGTATAATTTACAATAAAAGTTAATGATTAAACATTTCTTATCATATCACACTATAATTTACAATATTATATATTTTTTTCAAAGGCGGTCGAATTATTGCAATAATAAGAGCAATAAACATCCCTACTTTCATCAATAAATTTGAAGAAGGGGCTGTCTATGCACTTCGAAACTATCAGGTCGAGAGTAACATTGGAATGTACAGATCCACTATTGCCAATACAGGCTTATCTTACATGGTAGAACTTAACACATAAGATACAAGGGTGACTTTTCAATTTACCGTTTCGACTTTCAAAGGTTCATCACATGATTGATGTCGAGAAGATCGACGAATCAATCCTATTCGGTAATCGCATTTTCAATTATTTTTATTTTAGTTTTTAGAATTTTTATGATAAATAATAATTTTACTCTAATTTAACACATATTTAGATTTCATTGGAATGGTGGTCGAGATAAATCTTGTGCAATTGAAGAATAAAGCATAATACTATTTTAAACATCACATTTAAATAACATAATTACAATAAAGTATCCTTAATATTTATCATTGAATAATATAATACTATAATTTTTATACCATGCTAATATACTAACAGAAATACATTTAATGATTAAACACGTGTACATTAACTCAGTCAATCTCTCTACACGAAAAAAAAAAATCTAAACAACCAAATCAATTAATGAATTATTCAAATCATTGTAATTTATCTTATCATCAAATCACAATTTGAAGTTAGTCAAATGATGTTCAAAAAACATAATAAAAATAATTACACACATGTAGATTTCACGGTCATCTTTGTAGACGAAAAAAAAAAAAAAATCCTAACTACCTAACCAATTAATATACTATCCAAATAATTTGAACTTATCTTATCATCAACTCACAGTTTGAAGTTTTTAAAATTCAGATTTTAAATTAATCTTATCATTTATTATTATTATTATTATTATTATTATTATTATTATTATTATTATTATTATTATTATTATTATTATTTTCCCATGCCTATTAATGAACTTCCCAACGTAGATAACCTATCACAACACATCTTATACACTCCCATTTCACATACCAACAGAAAAATGGCAAGAGCATGGGACAACATCAAACAAATAACAAGGACCAACGACCTATGCTGAAGTTAAGAGTGGTTCGAATTTTTCAAGAACTAATGAATACTCTTCCTACAAGAACATCCTTGAAATTGTCTTGCATGACATTGAGGTATGAATCACAATCAAAATTAATAACCAATCTTTTCATATTTTACCCTAATTCTTAATATTATATTTTTTATAGAGAGGTCGAATTTCAAAGAAGAAGTAACAACATTTTCTATTGTTAGGATGACAGGTGATTAAAATCTGGTATCTATGTACAGTCAGTGGTTACCAAGAAAGAAGTAAGTTTAATAAACAAAAACATAATCATGTTGATTTATAAACAATGATTAAATTCAAGAACTTATAACTTTTTCTATAAAATTATACAGGAGCCTAACTTCTTGACTTTACTACAACGTGAAGAGGCTAACAACGGCAAGGTCAATGTTCATTTTTCACACTTATTATTTTTCTTTAAAATTGTAGATTTATTTCATACAAATAATCATATACAATTTAAATACTAAAATTTTTATTTTGCAAATTGTTTCATAGGGCTGTACTGGAAAAGATGAAGTTTCAACACCTTTAAATCTCTCAAATGTAAAGAGAAGGTCGACAACACTTCTAATGTAAGGCAAAGGTGGACGAGCAAATGATGAAATGAAGGACAATTTTGATGAAGAATTGATTTGCTAAGATATTATTAGTTTACTTAAGTATTTTATTATAATATTAGGATTTTATTTGCTTTGAATACTTTCATTGAATAAATTGGCTTCGACAACATGAATAATTTAGGTTTTAATATTGGAGTTCAGTTTGTTTGATTTTATATTTGGATATTATTGGTTATTGATGATATTGATTTTTATGGCTAATGTTGTACCACATTTTTTATGTATCTAATTATATTAATTTTTAATACATAACACTGGTAATCGAAATAAATGAAATTATAAATAAAAACATTGGAAATTCATTTTTTTTCTTTTTTTTTTTTAACTTTTTTATTAATATAGATGTTAAAAGTTAAGTAAATTATAACAAACATTTATCAGTTTATTTTTTTAAATAAAACAAAATCAAACCTATACATTTGATCAAAGAAATTAATTTAAAACATTTTTTTTGTCTTTCAATGTTTAAGTTAATAATATAACCACGCAGAACTAATTGTATGATTTTGTAATAATTAAAATTTCCGAACAACAAATACAGTGTATAAAATAAATAATTTAGAAATTAATTGTAAATATTAAAGCCCCATACATAAAAAAATAATAATATTTTTTTATGTTGTAATTTTTTTCATGGAAGAGTTGATTATGAAACGTAATAATGGAATAAATAATATCAACACCTCACATTACTCAAGTAATTATAAGAAACAACATTCAAGTAAATAATCTATACATAATAAAAAGAGCAGTTGGGTACATAACTCTAGCATTATAAAAAATAAAAAAAAATAAAACAATTATTTAAAATTTTAAAACATAACATAATTTAAAACGTTTTTTTTATCATTACAATGGTAAGAGTTTGTTATTGATAGAGTCAACAATAAAACAACACTTTGTGGTTATCAAAACAACTAATATAATACTAACACATGTTAAATATACATGTAAACAAATATGACAGTTCTCCATATGGTTTCTTACGCCACGACTATAAAAAAGAGACAAGGACAATCCTTATCTCATGTTAGCTTATTTGTTAAGAAACCAGTGTTCAATCATGACCAGTTATATGTTGCTGACTATGAACAAGAGACATGGACAATCATTATCTCATGTTGGCTTATTTCTTAAGAAAACAGTGTTCAGTCATGACCAGTTATATATTGTTGTCTCCCATGTCACTAATCGAAAAGGTTTAAAAATGTTTATTTGTGGATAAGATGATATACCAAAGAATCAAACCAATAATGTTGTATATAGAAAAATGTTTAATAATATATGATTTTTTTAGTTTATTTATATGTTTATATGTCTAATCTTATGATCATCGCATCATTACCCAATTTATATACAAAATTGTCTTCTAAAAAGCCCATAGATTATAATTTCCCGTGCATCGCACGGGTTATTACTAGTATAAAGTATAAGATGCATATAAGTCTTAATGCAATAAAATAGAACAACCAAATACCACGATGTTTAGCCGCCCAATCGACCTAATAAGAACTGAGACAGTGATTTATTTCTTCTCATCAACAGCTACTCAATTTTTCTCGTCGTCCTTCTCCTTCAGACGCCGTGATAATCAACTATTTTTAGATCATTAATCGACTATCTTCTTCAATAACCCAGGTATCCTGTAAATCTTAGCTTTTAAATCTTTCAACAGCTTCATAAACACAACCGTTTTTCGATCGGTATCATTCTGGGTTTTGATTAAAGACTGTTTCTTGGCATTTGAATCCCTTTGTGGCAATTGATGTACAGATTGGAGGAACCCTAATTTTATTACCGTTATTGAGGTAATTTCTCCGAATTTTGTGTTTGACGATGTGATATCCTGAATGAATTTTACTGTCTATTCATTTACTTCTGTGAGTAAGGAGAAAAGGTTCGGTCATGATTCAATTTATGTTCGGTAATTTTAGTTGTTCCAATTCTTACTGGCAATGTTTGTTTCTGGCACCAGTCTTGTTTGGAAGTCCAAGGTTGGGTTTCTTGGTGTTAGGTGATTCAGTAATTTCAGGGTTTTAGTGGAGATAGCTACATTTTTTTTCATTAAGAGTAATGGTTATTAATCGATCACTATTCGAGTGCACTCATCTTTTGTTATATACTATGTTGGGAGAGATCGACCTTTCACGAGAAGGGACATTGAGACGATCAGTGAATTTTATATGATGTGTTCTTTTAACCTTCATTTCAGTTTAAATTTTGAGCTGCAAAGTCATGTGATGAAGTTTTATTGTGGCGCGATTATAGAATTCTAATCTGAGTAGACGATATGCCTTGTCCAGGAAGTTTGTGTTCGTCTCATCATTGATCTAAAATAATACTTTCATTATTTTAATTCTGGAAAGTTTTGTTAGCTATCTCGCTTATCAGTCGTTAATTTCCTATTAGTAAGGCATGCATTAGAAAATGAATCGAATACTTATGAACTCCAATACTTCATACGATTCATAACTTTTTAACTTAGTATTTCTGGTATCTCAATTTTTAATATAATTGGAGGACCATCAAAATGCTCTTTAAGACACAAGGAGAAAAAATGTCAAATAAATAATACATCTGTTTTTCACTTGATCAGTGGCCGAAATTCGGAAGATCTGATCCGTTAATAGATTGATGTATAAAATCAACATGGTTTAAGCAAACATTATGGACTATAATTAAGCTATCTTTGTGAAGAATAGGGATTATGCTCAGATGACCAGCTGGTAAAAAGGGAATGAAAATAAAATAGCAAGTTAATCTCTGAAACTCTTTCGGTCAGCATGATGAGCCTTTGGTTTTCTTTACATATTTTTAATTGGTCAACTGTTTGACCGGAAAAAGGAAAAGCGAAGAAGAAAATTACGTATTCTCAATATATATACAATTAAAAAGCAATTGAAGCTACTAATTTAGGGGCTCTAGAAGCAGCTGTCAGTAACCTTAAGGCTACTGGTATTGTTTGTTTTGCCCAGACTTGAACAAACAACCTTGCTCTGTTTATATCTGTCTTCAACAACACTGTTTCATGTACATTATCTTCCTTCCTGCAGTTGTTCAGAACCTCTCTTGGGATGACAGACCTCAAAGAACGTCTACTCCCAACAAAACCTTCTTCTGCTATAAATCTCAGGGATTCTTCGTACAGGCCGTCCGCCTCAGGCCGTCTCCCATTCCAAGGAGTAGATGTTTCAGGCCTTAAGAAACGTGGGCAGGGCCTTCGGTCATGGATATGTGTCGATGTTACTGGAAACTCCCAAGTGATTGAAGTCGACAAGTTCTCTATGATGCGCCGTTGTGATCTTCCAGCACGTGACCTTAGGTTATTAGACCCTTTATTCGTTTACCCCTCGACTATTCTCGGCAGGGAGAAGGCAATCGTTGTAAATCTTGAGCAGATTCGGTGTATAATCACTGCAGATGAGGTTTTTTTGTTGAATTCGCTAGATAGCTATGTGCTGCAGTATGTGGTGGAATTGCAGAGACGGTTACAGACTGTAGGTGTAGGTGATATTTGGCAGCCTGAAGGCCCAGAATTGAGCAGAAGGAGAGGAGGAAGTAGGAATTTCGATAATATGTATGGAAATGTGTCACCTGATTACTTGCCATTTGAGTTCAGAGCTCTTGAGGTTGCGTTGGAGGCTGCGTGCACTTTTCTGGATTCTCAGGTACATGCAACAAAACCTTGGTTTCTTACGAGGTTCCTTTGTCTCTTCTGCGTAGAGAACCTCTCTGTTCTGTTAGAATCTTGAGATCTATTACCTGTACGATTCATTCAATATATTGGTTCAATGTGTATCCCCTAAATTTATCATCCTGAAATCTGTAAATTTAATTAGGCCGCAGAATTGGAGATCGAAGCGTACCCACTGTTGGATGAACTCACTTCAAAGATCAGTACGCTGAATTTGGAACGAGTCCGTAGACTAAAAAGCAGACTCGTTGCACTGACTCGGAGAGTTCAAAAGGTATTTAACTCGTTTATCTACCTCCTGTGAAATAATTACAGTCACTAGGTTTAGATTTTCACAAAAGAAGAACCCAGTACGACTTCTGAAATTTTTAATGCCCCATCAGGCTTTGGCACCTGTGCTTACCTCACAAATACTGTGGGATATTGCAATTTTAAATTACAGCAACTCAGTTCTTTATTTTTCCTTCATTTTTCATTGTGCTTAACCTTCAAGTTTCCTAATTAACCCGTAAATTTTATCATCTAGGTCAGGGATGAGATAGAGCAGCTAATGGATGATGATGGTGACATGGCTGAAATGTATCTTACCGAAAAGAAAAAACACATGGAGTCATCTTTCTATGGTGATCAATCCCTGATGGGCTATCGTTCGAATGATCTGTCAATATCGGCACCTGTTTCCCCAGTCTCATCCCCACCTGATAGCAGGAGACTCGACAAATGCCTGAGCATAGCAAGAAGCAGACATGAAAGTGTGAGGAGCTCAGAAAGTGCCACGAACAGTATAGAGGAGCTTGAGATGTTGTTGGAGGCCTACTTTGTTGTCATTGACAGCACCCTTAATAAATTGACTTCGGTATAATGGCCATGTGTCCATTATTTCTGTATTGTTTATCTGCTTTACAGGTCTTTCACTAAGGAAAAGGTTTTATTGATTTTTTTTTTTCAGCTGAAGGAGTATATTGATGATACGGAAGACTTCATCAACATTCAGCTGGTATGTATCTATTCTTTATCCCCTTGTTTTTTGTTCTTTATTGAGAAAATTTTAGTGCCTTTAATATCAACGTTAAAGGTATGATTTAAATGGGGTGCAGTATATCATGTCCAAAATGGCCTGCTCTAAATGTGTTCGATGATTTTCATGAATGGTATTCTTATGAATACTAATCTACCGTAAGACTGATTCGGACTGTGCCTTCTGTTTGTATAAGGCTAATTGTTGTTTCAAGAAACTTGTTAACATTAAAAGTTGTTTTCATCCTGTTTGAGTTAAAAATTTTGATATATTTTCGGGATAGTTGAAAATATTATATATGAGCTTGAACTTTAATGAATGAAGAAAAGGAAAATCCATTGTCGTTTCAGAGAATTACATATGCCCCCTCGATGTGTGCCCTTCCTTGGTAACTTTTGTTTCAGTAAAACGCAAAACAAGTTGGGAGATTAGCCTCTTGCAAACTCATGATTTGCTTATATAGAAATTTTTTGTCATATAAATTAAATACAGTATGGTGAACGTATATCTGTGTGGATTTCCAATTTTGCCACCATTGTGAGTTTTGATTTTGTTGAGAGTCTGTTGTTAAGTTTGGAGCACCATTGCACACTAGTTGAAATCCTTCATATTACCAAAAGTTCACCTACCAAGGGTTTATTGTTAAACAACAATGAACCCCAATATAGGGCATTTTGTAATTTTGAGTGGCTTTTGTCTGTGTGAATTGTCTAAAATGAAACATGTCTGGTAAAATTGGAAGCTTAGAGAGATGATTAATGACACCCGCATGAACTGTGTGCAGGACAATGTTCGAAACCAGCTTATACAATTTGAGTTGTTATTGACTACCGCAACTTTTGTCGTCGCAATATTTGGAGTGGTTGCCGGGATATTTGGCATGAATTTTGAGATACCAATGTTTGACAGCCCAGGTGCATTCAAATGGGTCCTAATAATAACCGGAGTTTGTGGGGCCGTAATTTTTTCTGCATTTTTATGGTTCTTTAAGTATCGAAGAGTGATGCCGTTGTAGAAGCTCTACATAGAAACTTGGAAACTGCCAGTGTTTAGGTCGAAAAGAGGTTGCGCTTGCGATTACGGCTATTATGGATTGCATATTTTTTAGTCCCCGATATTAGAATGGGTTAGGAAGAAAGGAAGTACCTGCGCTCGGGCCCCGAGTTATTCTTATATCTCAATTGTAATTGAGATGGGTTAGGAAGAAAGGAAGTACCTGCGCTCGGGCCCCGAGTCATTCTTATAACTCAATTGTAATTGAGATGAAAACATTATGTTTTAAAGTGTAAATTTAAATATCATTTGAAGTGATTGTATGATGCAGGCTTATAGTTTCTAAAATAAATAAAATTTGATATGAAGGTACTTTTTCTTGAAACTTTTAATAAAGAAAAATAGATTAAGATTAAATTTTGTGGAATTTCAATTTATCAAGAGCTCGCAAAATTTCCTAAAAAAAAACCCCATAAGATCACTAACTCAGCTCTTAACAAAACTTAATTGACTTACTATTACGAGATTGACGGATTTTGCTATGGACCCATCTGATGACTCGGCTTATGAAGACATTCATAGTTATTCACAAATTGTGTATTGACATGTGTCTTGCATTAAATACGCATTAGATACATGTCGTAAATATGAATGGCTCCATAAGGGAGGTTCCATAGAATTTCTGACGAGATTGATATGCTTACTCCAGATACCTCTATCTAAATACAACCTACGGAACCCTGACAATTGTACATGCTTATCAGTGTAAAACAGGAAAATGTCCTAAACTTCCGAATAGCTCATTTCCCAGGTGTTTGTACAAAAACCTGTAATTTCATAGGACAAAAACAAAGGCTGCCATCATCTAGAAAGCAATTTCCCTAAATAAATAAATACAAAAAGAACAAAAAGAAAGAAAAGGAAGAGGCTCCTTGTCTTCTTCATTTAGGCATGGATGAACTAGCGGAAAGCCGTGCACTCCTAGCTTTATCGGCCTTCTCCATGTAATCTTGATGAGATTGATGCTTTGCGCCTTCAACAAACAAAGTTACGTTAGAGCTAGCTTCTCCTTTTATGAAGCTCAAAACCAAGAAAACAACTCCACATAAAGGATAAACTATAAATCCAAACTAGACAAAGCAGAAGTCAAAAAAAAATGTATCAAGATTTTCTATTCTATTCTCGGTTCACATGTGTTTCACTCAATTGTATTTCGGAACCAAGATTTGATGAAAGTCATTTGGTACTCTGCATTTCAAGCAGAGTTAACCTTTCTTACTTCATGGGTTCGAGTCACCAAGGAGGGGAGGTAAGAGCACTATTGATCCCCCTTTTAATAAGAGAAAAAGAAAACCTTTCTTACTTCATCAAAGCTTATTAGAACAGCCAAATCAACCAATTTAATCTTTTTTTTTTTTTTGAGACGTGCACACACAAACAATGCCACGAG